TCTATTTATCTGTATCTCTATCTAATCTATCTCTGTATCTCTATCTAATCTATCTCTGTATCTCTATCTCTCTGTGTATCTCTGTCTCTTTCTCTGTCTCTCTGTCTCTGTATTTATCTATCTAATCTATCTCTGTATCTCTCTCTGTATCTCTCTATTTATCTGTATCTCTATCTAATCTATCTCTGTATCTCTATCTCTCTGTATCTCTCTGTGTATCTCTCTATCTGTCTATATCTCTCTCCATCTCTCTGTGTATCTCCCTGTGTATCTCTTTATCTATCTAATCTATCTCTGTATCTCTATTTATCTATATCTCTCTGTATCTATTTATCTATATCTCTCAAATCTGTATCTCTCTCTCTCTCTCTATCTAATCTATCTCTGTATCTCTATTTATCTATATCTCTCTGTATCTATTTATCTATATCTCTCAAATCTGTATCTCTCTCTCTCTCTATCTCTATCTAATCTATCTCTGTATCTCTATTTATCTGTCTCTCTGTATCTATTTATCTATATCTCTCAAATCTGTATCTCTCTCTCTCTCTCTCTCTCTCTAATCTATCTCTGTATCTCTATTTATCTATGTCTCTCTGTATCTATTTATCTATATCTCTCAAATCTGTATCTCTCTCTCTCTCTCTGTCTTCTCTCTCTATCTCTGTATCTCTATCTCTCTCTGCTGGGAGGAAAGCAGCCTCCCTCCTTCCCTGCTTTTCATCCTGCAGTCCCTTTTGGGACTCCAAGGAAACTGTTTTAGGGCTGTCCTGGGGGAACCAGGAAATCCAGCGCTCGCCACGTATTTGGGGAGAACAATCTAGCATTAAGCTATTCCCGAGAAGAGGGGAGAAGGAGAAAGTGCACGCTTATCCATCATGGGGTTTCGGTGAGGCACCGAGGAGCTACAAGGGCCGGCCAGGAGAGGCAGCAAAACTCTCAAAAACAAGAGTGACCAGAGGGCTGCTGTCAGCTAAAAGAGGCAGGAAGGAAACAACAATAACCAGCTTATCCCGATCTTCTATGGACTGCAAATACTCTTTGCCCTGGTTCGACTCATCCTTCTTCTTCAGGTACGGCTGGATAGCTTTGTATTGGGCATAGAAGTTGCTCAGATCCTAAAGGAGGGAGAACAAAGACATCCTGAGTTTACACATTGTACCAAGCCCTAATTAAAGCATGAGCCTCAGATCAAGTTTCAAAAGAAATCCAGTTATTTATTAGCAGCTATTCATGTTATTCAGTTATTCATGTTGGCACGTTCCAAGTGAAGTCAACTCCCCACATAATTTACGGCTCAGACTTGACCCTCCTTCCCCCAGGGTGTGTCATCAGTCACATGGAGCAATTTTGCAGGTTGTAGAGATCACTCCCCTCCGGTTGCTGTGGGTAACCCTGGGAGACAGCCTTAAGAGAGATATGTCTGGATTGTGCTTTTGTTTTTGGCTGCCGTGCTGCTTCACCGTTTTCCCATCCCCCTTGCCTATGGCAACTCGAGAGCAGGCCAGGGATGCTTTGCGAGTTGACATTGTGATTGAAGGAAAAAACGGTTTTTGGAATAAGCCATAACTGACGGCTCACGTAAAAGGTAGCTTACAAGTACAGCAGCACATATGTACCACGCTAAGCCCCAAACTACATGACCAATTCAGGCTGAGCATGATGGGTGACAGCAGGTATAATTGTATAGCTCAGGGGTCGGCAACCTTAAACACTCAAAGAGCCACAAAGGTCCTAACCAGAAGCCCCCCATTCAATTCTGGAGCCGACCGGAAGTCCGGTTCCCCTACCATAGAGTCTCCTCCCAGCACAACATCCTTTTTTTCCTCTGCCAACCAGAAGTACAGTTCCCCCACCACCACCACCATAGAGTCTCTCCCTAGCACAGCATCCTTTTCCCTCTGCCCACCGGAACTCTGGTTCCCCCACCGTAGAATCTACTCCTAGTGTGGCGTCCTTTTTTCTCTACCTGTCCTAATCGAAAGCCTTATCAATTGTGGAGCCAACTGGTGACAGGGAGCCACAGCAGAGGGATGAAAGAGCCACATGCGGCTCCAGAGCCGCAGGTTGCCGACCCCATGATATAGCTGGACTGTAGTGAGGTGAAGGTTGCCAGGCACAAAACACAACACCCACCTATCTGCCAGTGCCCATTTCCCAACTCCAGGCCCCATTCCAGATCTAGAATCCATTGGGGAAGGTTGGGGGGGTGGGGAAACCATCCGTTCCCTGGACTTACAGGCACGAGGTCTTTCACCACATACATGTGAGGGAGAGGGTAGATCTTGGTGACCTTGTTGAGATCGGTGTCGATCCTCTTGGTACAAGCCAGAGTGTTCCCTCCATTTATGTTCATGGCACACGAGCCACAAATGCCTGCAGGGAGACAAGAGAACCGAGAGCTTTCCAAGGAAACTTTTGGGATGGCGGTCAAACTTACAGCCTCCTCCTTGTCCTCCTCCGGATTGTCTGCCCTCCGGAAGCCGGACCGCAAAGGTGGGCCACTCTCACCTTCTCTGCAGGACCGGCGGAAAGTCAGGGTAGAATCCATTTCATTCTTGATCTTGATCAAGGCATCGAGAACCATCGGGCCGCATCTGGCAAAGGAGAAACCGCCAGCTGTCAGGAAGTGCCACCCCCCCCTTTCTCCCCCCAAAGGGTCCGTTTTGCACAGTTTGCAGAGGGGAGATTAGGCAAGCTGTTCCATGGGTTGATCGTTCTCACTGTCAGAAAATTCCTCCTTATTTCCAGGTTGAATCTCTCCTCGATCGGTTTCCATCCATTGTTCCTTGTCTGGCCTTCAGGTGCTTTGGAAAATAGCTTGGCCCCCTCCTCTCTCTGTGGCAGCCCCTCAAATATTGGAAGACGGCTATCGTGTCTCCCCTGGTCCTTCTCTTCACTAGACTAGCCAGGCCCAGTTCCTGCAACAATTCTTCCAGTCCCCTAATCATCAGAATGGAATGGAATGGAATGGAATGGAATAGAATGGGGAATGGGGAATAGAGTAGAGTAGAGTAGAGTAGAATAGAATAGAAAATGGGGAGTAGAGTAGAATAGGAGTAGAGTAGAGTAGAGTAGAGTAGAAGAGAGTAGAAGAGAAGAGAAAATGGGGAATAGAATAGAATAGAAAATGGGGAGTAGAGTAGAATAGGAGGAGAGGAGAGGAGAGGAGAGGAGAGGAGAGGAGAGGAGAGGAGAGGAGAGGAGAGGAGAGGAGAGGAGAGGAGAGGAGAGGAGAAGAGAAGAGAAGAGAAGAGAAGAGAAGAGAAGAGAAGAGAAGAGAAGAGAAGAGAAGAGAAGAGAAGAGAAAATGGGGAGTAGAGTAGAATAGAATAGAATGGAATAACAGAGTTGGAAGGGACCTTGGAGGTCTTCTAGTCCAACCCCCTGCTTAGGCAGAAAACCCTACACCACTTCAGACAAATGGTTATCCAAACATCTTCTTAAAAACTTCCAGTGTTGGAGCATTCGCAACTTCTGGAGGCAAGTTGTTCCACTGGTTAATTGTTCTCACTGTCAGGAAATTCCTCCTTATTTCTAAGTTGCTTCTCTCCTTGATGAGTTTCCACCCGTTGCTTCTTGTCCTGCCCTCAGGTTCTTTGGAGAATAGCTTGACTCCCTCTTCTTTGGGGCAGCCCCTGAGAGATTGGAACACTGCTCTCATGTCTCCCCTAGTCCTTCTTTTCATTAAACTAGACATACCCAGTGCCTGCAATCATTCTTCATGTGTTTTAGCCTCCAGTCCCCTAATCCTCTTTCTTGCTCTTCTCTGCGCTCTTTCTAGCCCCAGATTTTTAGATCTGCTAACCTACAGCCTTGTTGTCTATGTTTAGCCTGGTTGCTCCAGCGGTGTTGGGGGAGCTGAGGGGCCGGCCTGCCCCATGGAAGAAGGACAGCGATTTGGTAGCGGGGTCTGTGTGTGTGTGTATGGGGTGTCTGTGTGTGTGTCTTTGTGTGGTGTGTGTCTGTGGGTGTCTGTGTGTGTATGGTGTGTGTATGGGGTGTGTATGTGTGTGTGTGTGGTGTGTGTGTGTGTGTGTATGGGGTGTCTGTGTGTGTGTCTTTGTGTGGTGTGTGTCTGTGGGTGTCTGTGTGTGTATGGGGTGTGTCTGTGTGTGTCTTTGTATGGTGTGTGTCTGTGTGTGTGTGTGTGTGTGTGTGTGTGTGTCGCCCATCCCCTTCGGGAGGGGCCCACTCACTTGTTGAGGTCCATCTCGTAGACCTGCATGCGGGGCTTCTCTCCGAGGTTATCCGGGCTCCACCGGTACACGGCGAACCTCTTCAGGCGCGGAGACGTCTCCGTAGCCGCCGCTGCAGCCGCCCCGGATTGAGCTCTGCGACGGATCTGCAAAAGCGAAGGGAAAGCGCAGTCGCCCTCACTGAGGACTAGAAGCTTGAGAAGTCCGAGCCCGCAGGCGGAGAGCGTCCCTTTCCCTTCCCTTCCCTTCCCTCCCTTCGTCCCTCGCTCACCTGAAGCAGCGCCGCGCCGCCCCTTCCCCTCGCCGCCCCCCAACCCGCCACCGCCGTCCCGATCAGCGCCATCCCGCGCCCTCTAAGTGACGATCCCGCGTCCTTTCGGGTGGGGGGGGGGGAATAGTGGTCGCGACTGCAGCTGCTTCCGTGTTCTCCCGCGTAAACCGTCCCCCACTTCCGGTTCAATTCCCTCCCCAGCATGGCCGACCCTCGCTTCCTGTCCTGTCGCGAAAGCGGTCCCTCCGACCTCACTTCCGGTTCCTCACCGAGGCCGCCCCCCACCCTCCCAAAGGACCGAGGTTTATTTTTCCCGAGTCCTGTTTGTTTCCGACGCGCCCCTTCCCACCGGCCTTCTGTGGCCGCAGCTCTATAGCGGGCCCGGTTAGTCAGCAAAGAAAAGGATATTACCTACGGAGGAGCTGCCGCCGCAGCTTTGGCCAGCCCGTGCCACTCATTGTCGCCCCTAACATGGTGGCCGCTGCTGGAGGGGGAAACTCCCGAGCCGGGAGTGATGGGGCGTAAGTTCGAGAGACTGAGTCTCTTTGCGCTGCTCTGCGCACCTGCAACGCTCAAGCGAGAGTATAGGCGTCGTTCGGCTTCCGCCGCAAACTTCGGGTTCTTTTCAGAGGGCGGACGCTGACTGCAACCCTACGACTGGGGTGGCACGTATTTTTTCGTTTGTTGACCATTGTTGGGCAACATTAACCTTTGTTGACCACTGTTGACCATTGTTGGCTTCTGTTCACCACTGTTGACCAAGGTTGATCAGTGTTGACCGCTGTCAATCACTATTGAACTTGGTTGACCCCAACATTAAACATTGTTGTTTAATGTTGATGAGGGTTGACCACTATTGACATCTGTTAAACAATGTTGACCACAGTTGACCAATATTGACCACCATGGACCAACATTGATGTCTATGGAATTCTGTTGACATTTGTTGACCAGCACTGTTTTCCTGTAAGGAGAAACTGCTGATGGTTACACCAGAAATACAAAAACTGAATTGCTAAACACACAGAGACAAAACACGCAGTTATGTTTAATATTTTTTTAATTTAAGAAAAAGTTTCACGTTTCAAGTGAAAAAAGCAAGGAGGCTTACGGTGAACAATGTTCAACTCACTACAGAAAAGGAGGAGCTCTGCAAAGGTTTGGAAGAGAAACTGAGCAAGGGAACAATTTAAAATGAAAATTAACAACAGCAGAGATCCAAGCCCATCCTCCCTTGCCCAGAATATCTTCTCCACCACCGTTGGCCCTTTGCCTAGTTTTTTGGGTGGGGTGGGGGGTGGGGCGGAGAGGATAGAGGGCAGCAGGAAGTCTCCCTTCTAGAGAAAGCCCAGAGATGTCCTCACCCAACCCAAAACCTATCTTTGGATTTTCCGAATGAAAATGTTCATGCTAGGACTTTCCCTTCTAGGTGCCAATAATTATTATAATATTTTATTTATTTATTTATTTTATTGAATTTCTATACTACCCTACTCCCAATGAAATAAAACACATAGATATACAAAATGGCAGGCATCTTTCTCAGCACATGTCATAAGACCTTGGCTGGGCTGTCCTGGCTCATTCTCAACTGCTACCACTGCAGGGATGGCAGGAAATTTTTTCTACCGATTGAATAAAAAAGTCCAGCGGAGAAATAAAGGTAGGAGACAATTAAAAAGACAGAGTTATTATCTACTTAAGTTTAGCAGCAAGTGTGAAGAGTTTAGATGCCAGAAATATCAGCTGGCACCTAAGATTTGGGAATAAAGAGCCCAGATAAAGCTGCTGGTGTAAGAATGAATGTCAATAAGTTTGTGTTTTAAAGAAGTCTTATTTTTTTCAGTGGTACCAGAAGAGCAGCTGGACTTTGGCCTCTGGAGACACACTGAGGTATGTACTATATAGTCGCAACCAATATATAGAACATAAACAATGAAAGTAATACGTGCCAGCCAGTTGCCCCAATCCAACAAGGGTGTCCCCCTCAGCGGTCCATCACACAGCAGTCTATTGACTAAGGGAGAGAACCAGGATTCCTTGAAGTTGCTTAGAACTGACTTTCTAAAGAATTGATGGTTTGGAGGAACAACTCAAAACAGAAAGGATGGAATATAAGAGCCTCCTCTGCAGGGTTCTGCAGCAAGCTGGGGAGAAACAGGAGCTCCTCACGGAGAACAAACAACTAAAGGAACAACTGGACAGGTGAGAAATATTTAGTATCCCCTATCATGAGAGGGCTAATTTCTGCTTTTCATAATTTACAGGAATACTAAAATGATTCAGGACATGGCGGAGGAACAAGTCCAGCTAAAAGCTGAAGCAAAAGACCTCCGAATAAAAAACCAGAAATTTGTGCGAGGAGAAGGCAACAATCCTGCGGAATTTCAGGGAGAGGCTGAGGAGGTGAGAAACACGTAGACAGCAGCCCTGACTTTGGCAAAATGGCAAAACTAAATTACTTAAAAACCAACCTCTCAGGGTCTCTCTTTTAGCGCGTGTGACCCTCCGTATTGAAAGGTCCACCGTTGCTGGAGGGGCAACCCCTGGCATCTCCCCACAGCTGGATCAAAGATGGTGACATCACAGCACATGTCCTAAAACCTTGGCTGGGCTGTCCTGGCTCATTCTCAACTGCTACCACTGGAGAGATGGCAGGAAATTTTTCTATAGATTGAACAAAAAAGTCCAGCGGAGAAATAAAGGTAGGATACAATTAAAAAGACAGAGTTATGATCTACTTAAGTTTAGCAGCAAGTGCGAAGAGTTTAGATGCCAGAAATATCAGCAGCTGGCACCTAAGATCTGGAAATAAAGAGCCCAGATAAAGCTGCTGGTATAAGAATGAATGTCAATAAATTTGTGTTTTTAAAGAAATCTATTTTTTTTTCCCAGTGGTTCCAGAGGAGCAGCCCGTCTTTTGGCAACGGGGACACACGGAGGTATGTCCTATTTATTTCTTTAATTATTTGTCAATAAGTACCCAAATGGGACCCAAACCACGGAAGTAAAAATGGCTCTTTTGGGTGAGGGGGCCTGGATTAACTGGGCTTGAGGGTTTTCCCTGTGCTCAGGCCCAACTTCCTCATGATCTCCATGGCTTTTCAGCAGAAGACTTCATGTGCCAGCAACTTGCCCCCAATCAACGAAGGGCGTCCCCCTCAGCGGTCCATCAGCCCCTGTCCCCTCAGGTAAGCAGTCTAAATCTTCTGGGGAATGTTTTGAGTGCCCATTACTAAGTATGACAAATTTTCATATGATCATTTTATTATGTGAAGGAATCAGGCTGAGAGATCAATTCTCTCACATAATAAATAACCTTTTCTTTTAGCCAGGAGAGGCTACACCTGAGAATTTGTTTCATGTCGTAATAAGATGTGAAGGTGAGGCAGGGTGAGTGAGCTGATTTAAGTAGAAGGGAATATGCTGATCTATGCTGGTGAATCTATGCTCTGTGAGCAATGCTTCTTGCAAGGAGCCTCCAAGAGGGCCTGAATGAAGAGCAGGTGGATCCTGCCCCTCACACACATTCTTAGTTCTTCCTTCCAAGCAAGTATTCTGGAAGGCCAGAAAGAAGCTTCCCAATCTAAAGGCAGTCTACCTGTCTACATGTACATGTCTACCACAGTGCATCTCTACAAACCCCCAATGCTGAAAATCAGTGGGGTAGCACCAGGCTTTCCAATTCGATTCCATTTTCAATGTAGCCACAACGGTTCAACAAACCCAAAGATGCTAATTTTACTCGAGTTTTGATATTTGACAGAAGAAATTTTTCGGATGAGTCTATGCAGACAGACAGGCTCAGAAAAGAGAATCAAGATCTGAATTATTCTACATAACTACTTTGCCAAAAGCACGAAGTAAATTGAACCCCTCAATCCGAAATTCAAGTAAAAAAAAAAATCAAGGGTCTAATTTCTCTCTGGTCCTCGTATTTACAGCAACACAACACAGAAGGTTTCACCGAATGAGGAGCTCCTGAAGGAAAATTCCCAGCTTGTGGAAAACAACGCAGAACTCTGCAGGGAGCTGGAGGAGAAAACAGAGGAGGTGAGAAATTTTCAGACAGAAACCCTCACTTGGGCAAAATGGCAAAACTAAATTACTAAAAAAGTAAGGCAAAGGAAGTGCCAGGTATTTTTAGGGAGTTTTAATTTTAAACAAGATGGATGGTTGGAGTGAAAACCTGAGGGGCTAATTTCGCTCTTGTCTTCCTGTTTTACAGAAACAATGCTTTGGAGGAAGAGGTAGAACGAGAAAGAAAGGAATATAAAAGCCTCCTCTGAAGGGTTCTGTAACAAGCTGGGGAGAAACAGGAGCTCCGCACGGAAAACAAAAGACCGAAGGAACAACTGGACAACTGAGAAATATTAAGTATCACCTATCATGAGAGGACTAATTTCTGCTTTTCTTAATTTACAGGAATTCAAAAAACATTTGAACAAATGGTGGAGGAAAGACTTAATTTAAAGAACGAAATCAAAGAATTAAAAATGAAGAACTGGAAGTTGAGCGAGGAGAAGGCGACCATCCTGAGGAATTTCAGGGAGAGGCTGAGGAGGTGAGAAGTATGTAGACAGCAGCCCTGACTGCGGGAGGGAGAGGACCAGGATTCCTTGAAGCAGCTTGGTTGAACCATGATTCTAGGATGAAGAACCTACCCTAGAAGGGATGGAGGGATAGAGGAAAATTAGAATGGGGAGGCCACATTTGACCACTTACTACGAAATCTCCCATTCTCATTCTTCCAGAGACAGAGACCGACCACCATGCTAAAGGGGCTGAAACATCAGGAGGAGGACTTGGAAAAGCTCCCGAGGATCCCAAGATGGAGAGAAACATCTGCTGGAGCTTCAAGTACAGGGAGCCTCCTCCTCCCCTCCCCTCCCCCTCCTTTTCCCTCCTCACCCCTTCCTCATCACCAAGGAGAAAATGATTCTCTGTCTCAGCCACATCCAGCCATCCCTGAAAAGAGCAGGACAACAGAAGAACGTGGTCTCCTCTCTCAATTTCCATAGGTTGTTATTGCTTTATCTACTTATTTTTCAGTTATTAATACAGTTATTATCAATAATACAGTTATTATTGTTATTATCATCATTATTGTCATCGTTATTTCATTAGTCCTGGAAATGACCAGTCCATGAATGACCGGAGTGTCCAACAGTGGCTCATGTCTGCACTCTTGTCTTATCACTTCCCAAGTGTGCACCAGGAGGCCCAAACACTGGGAGCTCCTGAGCAAAACTTCCCAGCGTCATACCACCGATGCAGAACTCTGCCGGGAGCTGGAGGAGAGGCAGAGGAGGTGAGAAAGTGCCAGGTATTTTTAGGGAGTTTTAATTTTAAACAAGTTGGATGGTTGGAGTGAAAACCTGAGGGGGCTATTTTCGCTCTTCTCTTTGTCTCTTACAGAATACATACCTTGGAATACCAACTTCAACTGGAGAGACAAGAGTATAAGAGCCTCCTCTGTAGAGTTCTGCAGCATGCTGGGGAGAAAAAGGAGCTCCTCACGGAGATTAAAACTCTCAAAGAACAACTGGAGAGGTGAGAAATATTTAGAAGGGAATCCTAACATTCTTTCAAATACATCCATCCTACCATCCATCCATCCATCCATCCATCCATCCATCTATCCATCCTTGCATCCATCCATCCATCCTTGCATCCATCCATCCATCCTTGCATCCATCCAGCTATCTGTCTGTCTGTCTGTCTGTCTGTCTGTCTGTCTGTCTGTCTGTCTGTCTATCTATCTATCTATCTATCTATCTATCTATCTATCTATCTATCTATCTATCTATCTATCATGAGAGGCCTAATTTCTGCTGTTCATAATTTGCAGAAATTCAAAAATATTCGAGGAGATGGTTGAGGAACAAATTAATTTAAAGGACCAAATTAAAAACTTACAAATTAGGAACCGGAAGTTGAGCGAGGAGAAAGCAACAATCATGCGGAATTTCAGGGAGAGGCTGAGGAGGTGAGAAACACGTAGATAGCAGCCCTGACTAAGGGAGGGAGAGGACCAGGATTCCTTGAAGCAGCTTAGAAATGACTTTCCAAAGAAATGAGATCTCGTCCAGCCACTCCTGTAATCATGAAATGGACGCAGGGATCGATGACAAATGCACCCATTTCCTGATCTCCATTTAAGTTCAAAACTTAATTTTCTTTATCAGCCTACATAAAATAACATTAGGATTCTACCCTATAAGGGATGGAGGAATAGATGAAAATTAGAATGGGGAGGCCACATTTGAACCCTTAGAGACTCCATCACTCACCGACCGCCATGCTGAAGGGGCTGGAACTTCACATGGGGAAAGAGAGGGCCAAGGGGGAGGACTTGAAGAACTTGGAAAAGCTCCCGGGAATCCAAAAATGGATTGAAACATCTATTGTACTACTACGAACATCCCTAATTTTGTAAAATAAAGTTCCAAAAGAAGGAGAAAACTCATGAATGTCTGGCTCCTGACACTTTTAGTCCTATGTGTATAAAGCTAGGTCTACTATAAGGAGCTCCTGAAGGAAAATTTCCAGCTTGTGGAAAACAACACAGGACTCTGCAAGGAGCTGGAGGAGAAACAGAGGAGGTGAGAAATTTTCTGACAGCATCCCTGATTTTAATTGTTGGTCCAAATTTATCTCTAAGCTTCTGATGTTTCTAGAGAGAAAGAACTGAGGAAAAACATCTTCAGGTGACTGGTGTACAGAGACCAGCTGGTACCACTTAATAGTACAGAGTCCAAAAGAAACACAAGGGCGGACATTAGAACACTGGAAGACAAGAGAGAAACTCTTGAAGACGTGAAACCTTTGATGCTGCCATATAAACAGGAGAAGGAATGGCTGAAAGCTTCTGGAGATAATCTCAAAGCCAAGAAAGCCCCACAGAGGCTTTTTCTCAGCCATCCAGAGACTCCCTGGCAGGATGCCTTCTGGCATCCCTGGTCAACCTTCCAAAGGAAGGTCCTGGAGCTTCCAGAGTGGTTGGCTGGATGTATCCATAATTCTTCTCCAAGAAAAAGGAATAGAAACACCTCATTGAAATGTGCAGAAATGGATGGAAGCCATTTAAGATTGACAGACGTCTATGGTAGAGTTCCACACTCCATGTCTTGAGGTGATCTTCCTTCTGTGGAGATCCTTTGATGGGAAGTGAGGGATCTCCTCTTCCTTTTTCCTCCCATCGAGCACTGAAATGGCTTCTCCTCTTGTCTGTTGGGCTGCTGTTCCTCAAGCGTTTGAGGTCCCAATGCAGCTGGATATGACTCTCCTTCCAGGTCACGTCCAATTTCTTGCAGTGACATCAGATTTGGCTCTGAATCATTCTCTTCAACTCCCTGATAAAAATAAAGAAAAGCACATTAAAACAGCTTTTAAATAAAAGGAAATTTTACAATTCTTTAAATATCACGATATTATCTCTCTCATGTTTTTACATTTATTCTGATTGTAAGCTGCTCCTTTGTGTTCAGATCTGGCCTCAGAAGGATAATGTAGCACTTGGGGATGAAGATGCAGATCAGCAGACCAGCACTGGAGGCCAGGATGGAGAAGACCTGCACAGCCACCATGGATTTCCCTTTGGTGCTCAGGTAAGTGGGCACAAAAGTCACCAGACACTGTAGAAGACCAGCATGCTGAAGGTGATCAGCTTGGCTTCGTTGAAGGCCCCTGGCAGATTCCTGGCCAGGAAAGCCACCGTGAAGCAGATGGCAGCCAGGAAGCCCATGTAGCTGAGGGTGACGTAGAACATGACAACGGCCCCTTCGTTGCATTGCAGGATGGTCTCTCCAGGCTGGGAGTGGAGGTCAGAGTCAGGGAAGGGGGGAGAAACTCCCAGCCAGATGGAGCAGATGACAATTTGGACTGCAGAACAAGAGAGGGTGATGGAGATGGTGAAGATCTTCCACAACCATCTCTTCCTAAGACTATAGTAGAGTTCACACTCCATGCCTTGAGGTGATTTCTCCCTGAGGGGATCCTTTGATGGGAAATGAGGGATCTTCTCTTCCTTTTTCCTCCCATCGAGCACTGAAATGGCTTCTCTCTCTTGGCTGTTTGGCTGCTTCTCCTCAGGCCTTTGAGGTCCCAATGGAGCTGGATATGACTCTTCTTCCAGGTCACGTCCAGTTCCTTGCAGGGACAACAGATTTGGCTCTGAGTCTCATCAACTCCCCTGATGAAAATAAAGAAAAGCCCATTAAAATGCAAGAATGAAAGATCTGTCTATGTAAATGGTGCGTTTGTGGCATTGGGTTCCTGCACGGGGGAGAAGGTTGGACTAGATGACCATGAAGGTGCCTTTCACAGCTTACATTCTATGATTCTCTGAATGTCTGCAATACAGGTAGTCTTTGACTTATGACCATTCATTTAGCAACGGTTGAAAGTTATGACAAAGCTGAGAAACACAACTTAGAAGGCAGATCATGACAGTGTCCCTGTTTAGGCCAGGAGACTAAACCATAGGCTGCAGGTTTTGGGTCTGGCTAGTCTAAAGAAAAGAAGAATTAGGGGTGACGTGATAGCAGTATTTCAATATTTGGGAGGCTGCCACAAAGAAGACGAGGTCAAATTATTCTCCAGAGCCCCGAGGGCAGGACAAGAAACAACGGATGGAAACTGAACAAAGAGAGAAGCAGCCTGGAATTAAGGAGAAACTTCCTAACAGGGAGGACAATTGACCTGTGGAACTGCTTGCCTCCAGAAGTTGTGGCTGCTTCATCACTGGAGGTTTTTAAGAAGAAACTAGACAGCCACTTGTCTGAGATCATTTAGGTTCTCCTGCTTGAGCAGAGGGCTGGACTAGAAGACCTCCAAGGTCCCTTCCAGCTCTATTCTATTCTATTCTAGAGGCGGAGGCCTCAGACACAGCCGGTCCCCCATTTTCTGGGCTGCTCTCTCTTCAGCCCCCAGGAAGATCAAGACCGTTAAGGCAGGGCGACCCCTGAGAATTTCATGAGTTGGTACATTCCAACGACTCTCTGCCTACCCAGAATCCCCCTGTCCAAGTGGTTCAGACCGAAGAAGCAGCAAAAACTGTCAGCTAAGAAAAAAAAAATAAACACCGTTGCCATGACTACATTTCCGAGCATCCATTTTGAGGTTACCAAAGAGAATAGAATAGAATAGAATAGAATAGAATAGAATAGAATAGAATAGAATAGAATAGAATAGAATAGAATAGAATAGAATAGAATAGAACAGAACAGAACAGAACAGAATAGAATAGAAAAACCAGAGTTGGAAGGGACCTTGGAGGTCATCTAGTCCAACCCCCTGCTTAGGCAGGAAACACTTCAGACAAATGGTTATCCAACCTCTTCTTCAAAACTGTCCAGTGTTGGAGCATTCACAACTTCTGGAGGCAAATTGCCCTTTTGGTTGTCCAAGACTTTCATCCTTTCATTTTTCTTTCATTAACATGATAACTTGTTTTGAAGCTGATTTGGATGTCTTTTCCTGTTTAAAAACTTTGGGAAGTTTTTTTGGTTGATTACATTTCCCCATTTTTTGTTACTTATTGATTTTAATGTTGTCCATCAAGTAATACACAGCCGGTATTTAAGTCGCTTGAATAGAATAGAATAGAATAGAATTCTTTCTTGGCCAAGTGTGATTGGACACACAAGGAATTTGTCTTTGGTGCATATTTATTTATTTGTTTGTTTGTTTGTTTGTTTTGTTTGTTTGTTTGTTTGTTTATTTATTCATTCATTCATTCATTCATTCATTCATTTATTTATTAAATTTATATACCCGCCCTATTCCTGAGGGACTCAGGGCGGTGAACAGCAAAACGATAAAAATACATGTAATACAAACATTAAAAAAAACAACCAATTAAAATATACTAAACACTCTGGTCCTAGACAATTCACTATAATATGGCGGTGTTAGCAATAAACAGTTGTGTTAACCTATTTTTTGTATTATCACATTTGCCCATTTTAAATATTCCTGTAATTCCAGATTTTACCATTTCTCCAAATTCAGCATTTCAGTTAATTATCACGACATCCTTCCTCGATGTTGTATGTAGTACTTCTTGCACTGTGCCATAGAATTATCAGTGTCTTCCATATTATATTTGTAGTAGGTATATATAGGCATATATAAGATGTTTTACAGGTGGCATTTACTCCCGACAAGAATAGCGAGAATGTTCAAGAACAAATCTGAGAAGTGTTGGAAATGCCATCAGATACCGGGCTCATATTACCATATGTGGTGGACATGTGTGGACGCGAAAAGATATTGGACTATAAAATCCACACATGGTTGGAAAAAATGACAAAAAAACACATAGACTTTAAACCAGAGATTTTTTTTATTAGGGATTGTGCCAGAAACATACAATAGAGAAGTGAGATATTTGATGGTGAATGTTTTAACAGCTGCTAGAATTGTATTTGCTAAAAAGTGGAAAAATGAGAAAATAACCAACGCAAGATGAAATTATGAAGAAAAATCATGGAATGTGCTGAAATGAGTAAATGGACATTTGAAATTAGAGAACAAGAAGATAAACAATACTACCAGATACGGGATTTATTTTATCAATGGCTAGATAATAAGACATGGAAGTGAAATATGAAATATGAAATGAATGTTATAAATATAATATTCGAAAATAAGTTTTTTGAAGCAACAATGCACTAGTTAAATAAATTATAAATGAGGAGGTTGATTTGTTTGACGATATGAGAAATTAGATAATCAGTAAATTTTGAATAGGGGGATGATGGTTTTGTTTTATGTTTTGTTTTAAAAAAATAATAAAAAATTATTAAAAAAAAAAGAAAGAAAAAAAGAAGAGGTTGGATAATCATTTGTCTGAAGTGGTGTAGGGTTTCCTGCCTAAGCAGGAGGTTGGACTAGAGGACCTCCAAGGTCCCTTCCAACTCTGTTATTCTATTCTATTCTATTCTATTCTATTCTATTCTATTCTATTCTATTCTATTCTATTCTATTCTATTCTATTCTATTCTATTCTATTCTCTTTGGTAAGCTCAAAATGGATGCCTAGAAACGTAGTCATGGCAACGGTGTTTATTTTTTTTCTTAGCTGAGAGTTTTTGCTGTTGCTTCGGTCTGAACCACTTGAACAAGGGGATTCTGGGTAGGCAGAGTGTCGTTGGAATGTACCAACTCATGAAATTCTCAGGGGTCGTCCTGCCCTAACGGTCTTGATCTTCCTGGGGGCTGATGAGAGAGCAGCCCAGAAAATGGGGGATTCTATTCTATTCTATTCTATTCTATTCTATTCTATTCTATTCTATTCTATTCTATTCTCTTTGGTAAGCTCAAAATGGATGCCTGGAAATGTAGTCATGGCAACGGTGTTTATTTTTTTTTCTTAGCTGAGAGTTTTTGCTGTTGCTTCGGTCTGAACCACTTGAACAGGGGGATTCTGGGTAGGCAGAGAGTCGTTGGAATGTACCAACTCATGAATTCTCAGGGGTCGCCCTGTCTTAACGGTCTTGATCTTCCTGGGGGCTGATGAGAGAGCAGCCCAGAAAATGGGGGACCGGCTGTGTCTGAGGCCTCTGCCTCTAGAATAGAATAGAATAGAATAGAATAGAATAGAATAGAATAGAATAGAATAGAATAGAATAGAATAGAGCTGGAAGGGACCTTGGAGGTCTTCTAGTCCAGCCCTCTGCTCAAGCAGGAGAACTTAAATGATCTCAGACAAGTGGCTCTCTAGTTTCTTCTTAAAAAACCTCCAGTGATGAAGCAGCCACAACTTCTGGAGGCAAGCAGTTCCACGGGTCAATTGTCCTCCCTGTTAGGAAGTTTCTCCTTAATTCCAGGCTCCTTCTCTCTTTGTTCAGTTTCCATCCGTTGTTTCTTGTCCTGCCCTCTGGAGCTCTGGAGAATAATTTGACCCCGTCTTCTTTGGGGCAGCCTCCCAAATATTGAAATACTGCTATCACATCACCCCTAATTCTTCTTTTCTTTAGACTAGCCAGACCCAAAACCTGCAGCTGTTCTTCCTATGGTTTAGTCTCCAGGCCTTCGATCACCTTAGTTGCTCTCCTCTGCACTTTTTCCAAGGTCTCAGCATCTTTTACGTAGGATGGTGATCAAAATTGGTTGCAGTATTCCAGTCTTCTATTGAGGGAAGGAGCTTCTGCATTTGGCACAAATGGAACCCTTCCCTTCTTTCTCCAACCATCCATCTTCCTTGTCCAAAATGTCGCCTCCGAGCCCCCATCACAGCCAATGCAGGGATCTCTTTCCTTTAGGGCTTCTTTCCCACTGGATCCAATGATGGCCAGGAAAGATCGGAGGCCCCTGGTGATCCCCAGAAGGGATCCCAGAGAAAAAGGGGGCAGGAAGGACCTCACAGCATCTCCAGGGCAATTATGGAGACCAGAAAAAGACCCTGCTTCTCTGATTCTGCAGCTGGTGGGAAACGGTGAATGTCTGAATGTCGCCTTTGACTCCAAAGATGGTTTTCCGATTTCACCGTCTCTGTGCCTCACTTTCCCCATTGCTTTTACGAGATCAGGGAAAGGTTGGTTAGGACTCCTCATTGGACTGTCAGATGAATTTAAAAAGGAAAAATGTTCTAATTTCCCTTCTCTAATTTTTCTAGATCGCTAATTTTAATGTTTACTGGAATTCTGGTTTTCAGTTGGAAAAGAAACAGCGAGACGTCACCTGACCATGACTTGCAACCTCCCACATTGGCTTCCCCGTTGGCTTTGCATTTGGAAGCCCTTGAGAAGATTGCAAATGGTCACCACGTAACCCTAAGATGCTGTAACTATTAACAATGTGAGCTAGTTGCCTAGTGCCTGAATTGTGATTCTGTGACTGCAGGGACACTGTGAGGATCTCCCTTCTAAGTTGTGTTTCTCAGCTTTGTCATAACTTTCAACCGTTGCTAAATGAATGGTTATAAGTTAAGGACTACCTGTATTGCAGGCATTCATAGAATCACGGAATGTAAGCTTTGAAAGGCACCTTCATGGTCATCTAGTCCAACCCTCTCCCCCGTACAGGAACCCAATGCCACAAACTCACCATTTACATAGACAGATCTCTCATTCTTGCATTTTAATGGGCTTTTCTTTATTTTTATCAGGGAGTTGATGAGAATCAGAGCCAAATCCGTTGTCCCTGCAAGGAACTGGACGTGACCTGGAAGAAGAGTCATATCCAGCTCCATTGGGGCCTCAAAGGCCTGAGGAGAAGCAGCCAAACAGCCAAGAGGAGAAGCCATTTCAGTGCTCGATGGGAGGAAAAAGGAAGAGAAGATCCCTCATTTCCCATCAAAGGATCCCCTTGCGGAGAAATCAACTCAAGGCCTGGAGTGTGGAACTCTACTATAGTCTTCACGAAGAGATGGTTGTGGAAGATCTTCACCAACTCCATCATCCACTCTTGTTCTGCAGTCCAAATTATCATCTGCTCCATCTGGCTGGAAGTTTCTCCCCTCCCCTTCCCTGACTCTGACCTCCACTCCCCAGCCTGGAGAGACCATCCTGCAATGCAACGAAGGGGCTGTTGTCATGTTCTACGTCACCCTCAGCTACATGGGCTTCCTGGCTGCCATCTGCTTCACGGTGGCTTTCCTGGCCAGGAATCTGCCAGGGGCCTTCAACAAAGCCAAGCTGATCACCTTCAGCATGCTGGTCTTCTGCAGTGTCTGGGTGACTTTTGTGCCCACCTACCTGAGCACCAAAGGGAAATCCATGGTGGCTGTGCAGGTCTTCTCCATCCTGGACTCCAGTGCTGGTCTGCTGGGCTGCATCTTCATCCCCAAGTGCTACATTATCCTTCCGAGGCCAGACCCGAACACAAAGGAGCAGCTTACAACCAGAATAAATGTAAAAACATGAGAGATAATACCATGATATTTAAAGAATTGTAAAATTTCCTTTTATTTAAAAGCTGTTTTAATGTGCTTTTCTTTATTCTTATCAGGGAGTTGAAGAGAATGACTCAGAGCCAAATCTGATGTCAATGCAAGAAATTGGACGTGACCTGGAAGGAGAGTCCTATTCAGCTCCATTGAGACCTCAAAGGCCTGAGGAACAGCAGCCAAACAGGCAAGAGGAGAAGCCATTTCAGTGCTCGATGGGAGGAAAAAGGAAGAGGAGATCCCTCACTTCCCATCAAAGGATCTCCTCGGAAGATCACCTCAAGGCATGGAGTGTGGAACTCTACCATAGACGTCTGTCAATCTTGAATGCCTTGAACAGATGCTTTCATCCATGTCTGCACATTTCAATGAGGTGTTTCTGTTCCTTTTTCTTGAGAAGAATTATGGATACAACCAGCCAACCACTCTGGAAGCTCCAGGACCTTCCTTTGGAAGGTTGACCAGGGATGCCAGAAGGCATCCTGCCAGGGAGTCTCTGGATGGCTGAGAAGAAGCCTCTGTGGGGCTTTCTTGGCTTTGAGATTATCTCCAGAAGCTTTCAGCTATTCCTTCTCCTGTTTATATGGCAGCATCAAAGGTTTCACGTCTTCAAGAGTTTCTCTCTTGTCTTCCATTGTTCTAATGTCTGCCCTTGTGTTTCTTTTGGACTGTACTATTAAGTGGTACCAGCTGGTCTCTGTACACCAGTCACCTGGAGATGTTTTTCCTCAGTTCTTTCTCTCTAGAAACATCAGAAGCTTAGAGATAAATTTGGACCAACAATTAAACTCAGGGATGCTGTCAGAAAATTTCTCACCTCCTCTGTTTCTCCTCCAGCTCCCTTGCAGAGTCCTGCGTTGTTTTCCACAAGCTGGAAATTCTCCTTCAGGAGCTCCTCATAGTAGACCTAGCTTTATACACGTAGGACTAAAAGTGTCAGGAGCCAGACATTCATGAGTTTTTCTCCTTCTTTTGGAACTTTATTTTACAAAATTAGGGATGTTTGTAGTACAATAGATGTTTCCATCCATGTTGGGATTCCTCGGGAGCTTTTCCAAGTTCTTCAAGCCCTCCTTCTAGTCCAGGAGTGGCTGGATGAGATCTCATTTCTTTAGAAAGTCAGTTCTAAGCTGCTTTGAGGAATCCTGGTCCTCTCCCCTCCCTCAGTCAGGGCTGCTGTCTACATGCTTCTCACCTCCTCAGCCTCTTCCTGAAATTCCGCAGGATGGTCGCCTTCTCCTCGCTCAACTTCCAGTTCTTGATTTTTAATTCTTTATTTTCTTTTTTTAATTGAACTCTTTCCTCCACCATTTCTTTAAACATTTTTGAATTCCTGTAAATTAAGAAAAGCAGAAATTAGCCCTCTCGTGATAAGTGATACTTAATATTTCTCAACTGTCCAGTTGTTCCTTCGGTCTTTTGTTTTCCGTGCGGAGCTCCTGTTTCTCCCCAGCTTGTTACAGAACCCTTCAGAGGAGGCTTTTATATTCCTTTCTTTCTCGTTCTACCTCTTCCTCCAAAGCATCGTTTCTGTAAAACAGGAAGACAAGAGCGAAATTAGCCTCTTCAGGTTTTCACTCCTCCAACCATCCATCTTGTTTAAAATTAAAACTCCCTAAAAATACCTGGCACTTCCTTTGCCTTACTTTTTATGTAATTTAGTTTTGCCATTATGTCCAAGTGAGGGTTTCTGTCTGAAAATTTCTCACCTCCTCTGTTTGTCCTCCAGCTCCCTGCAGAGTTCTCCGTTGTTTTCCACAAGCTGGGAATTTTCCTTCAGGAGCTCCTCATTCGGTGAAACCTTCTGTGTTGTGTTGCTGTAAATACGAGGACCTGAGAGAAATTAGACCCTTGATTTTTTTTTTACTTGAATTTCGGATTGAGGGGTTCAATTTACTTCGTGCTTTTGGCAAAGTAGTTATGTAGAATAACTCAGATCTTGATTCCCTTTTCTGAGCCTGTCTGTCTGCATAGACTCATCCGAAAATTTTCTTCCGTCAAATATCAAAACTCGAGTAAAATTAGCATCTTTGGGTTTGTTGAACCGTGGTGGTTCCATTGAAAATGGAATCAAATTGGAAAGCCTGGTGCTACCCCACTGATTTTCAGCATTGGGGTTTGTAGAGATGCACTGTGGTAGACATGCACATGTAGACAGGTAGACTGCCTTTAGATTGGGAAGCTTCTTTCTGGCCTTCCAGAAAGAAGAACTAAGAATGTGTGTGAGGGGCAGGATCCACCTGCTCTTCACTCAGGCCCCTCCTGGAGGCTCCTTGCAATAAGCATTGCTCACAGAGCATAGATCCACCAGCATAGATCAGCATATTCCCTTCTACTTAAATCAACTCATTCACCCTCCACTATCCTCACCCTCACCATCTTATTACGACATAAAAAAAATTCTCAGGTGTAGCCTCTCCTGGCTAAAAGAAAAGGTTATTTATTATGTGAGAGAATTGATCTCTCAGCCTGATTCCTTCACATAATAAAATGATCGTATGAAAATTTGTCATACTTAGTAATGGGCACTCAAAACATTCCCCAGAAGATTTAGACTGCTTACCTGAGGGGGACGGGGGGTGATGGACCGCTGAGGGGGACGCCCTTCGTTGATTGGGGGCAAGTTGCTGGCACATGAAGTCTTCTGCTGAAAGCCATGGAGATCAAGAGGAAGTTGGGCCTGAGCACAGGGAAAACCCTCAAGGCCAGTTAATCCAGGCCCTCTCACCCAAAAGAGCCATTTTTACTTCCGTGGTTTGGGTCCCATTGGGTACTTGTTGACAAAAAATTAAAGAAATAAATAGGACATACCTCCATGTGTCCCCGTTGCCGAAAGACGGGCTGCTCCTCTGGAACCACTGGGAAAAAAATAGATTTCTTTAAAAACACAAACTTATTGACATTCATTCTTACACCAGCAGCTTTATCTGGGCTCTTTATTCCCAGATCTTAGGTGCCAGCTGATATTTCTGGCATCTAAACTCTCTCACTTCCTGCTAAACTTAAGTAGATCATAACTCTGTCTTTTTAATTGTATCCTACCTTTATTTCTCTCCGCTGGACTTTTTTATTCAATCGATAGAAAAAATTTCCTGCCATCCTGCAGTGGTAGCAGTTGAGAATGAGCCAGGACAGCCCGGCCAAGGTCTTATGACATGTGCTGTGATGTCACCATCTTTGATCCAGCTGTGGGGAGATGCCAGGGGTGCCCCCTCCAGCAACGGTGGACCTTTCAATAGGGAGGGTCACACGCACTGAAAGAGAGACCCTGAGAGGTTTGGGTCCCATTGGGTACTTGTTGACAAATAATTAAAGAAATAAATAGTACATACCTCCGTTTGTCCCCATTGCCAAAAGACGGGCTGCTCCTCTGGAACCACTGGAAAAAAATAGATTTCTTTAAAAACACAAACTTATTGACATTCATTCTTATACCAGCAGCTTTACCTGGCTCTTTATTCCCAAATCTTAGGTGCCAGCTGATATTTCTGGCATCTAAACTCTTCACGCTTGCTGCTAAACTTAAGTAGATCATAACTCTGTCTTTTTAATTGTCTCCTACCTCTGTTTTTCTCTGCTGGACTTTTTTTATGGAAATGAAAAAAAATTTCCTGCCACCCTGCAGTGGTAGCAGTTGTGAATGACCAGGACAGCCCGGCCAGGTCTTAGGACATGTGCTTGCGTGACGTCATCATCTTTGATCCAGCTATGGGGAGATGCCAGGGGTGCCCCCTCCAGCAACAGTGGACCTTTCAATAGGGAGGGTCACACGCACTGAGAGACCCTGAGAGGTTGGGGGCCTCCTGCTGCACCCTTGTGAAGTGATAAGACAAGAGTGCAGACATGAGCCACTGTTGGACACTCCGGTCATTCACAGACTGGTCATTTCCAGGACTAATGAAATAACGATGACAATAATGATGATAATAACAATAATAATTGTATTAATGATAATAACTGTATTAATAACTGAAAAATAACTAGATAAAGCAATAACAACCGATGGAAGTTGAGCGAGACCCTTACCTTCTTCTGTTGTCCTGCACTTTTCGGGGATGGCTGGATGTGGCTGAGACAGAGAATCATTTCTCCTTGGTGATGAGGAAGGGGTGAGGAGGAAAGGAGGGGGAGGAAGAGGGGGAGGCTCCCTGTACTTGAAGCTCCTGGCAGATGTGCCCCCTCCAGCAACGGTGGACCTTTCAATAGGGAGGGTCACACGCGCTGAAAGAGAGACCCTCTTTCATTTTTATTTTTTATTTTTTGAGATCTCTATAACAATACATTTACTCACATACTTATCGGGTCTACACGCATGCAAATTAGGTTTAAGATCAGGAATTTTCTTAACCGAGATGTTATTATTTACGATTAATGTTAGCATTATTTTTAATTTATTGGATGTCTGTTGCTGGTCGATGACTGTAATAAAATTCTCTTCTCTTCTCTTCTCTTCTCTTCTCTTCTCTTCTCGTCTCGTCTCGTCTCGTCTCGTCTCTTCTCTTCTCTTCTCTTCTCTTCTATTCCTCTCATGATAGATGATACTAAACATTTCTCACCTATCCAGTTTTTTCTTTAGTGTTTGTTCTCCATGAGGAGCTCCTGTTTCTCCCCAGCTTGCTGCAGAACCCTTCAGAGGAGGCTCTTATATTCCTTTCTCTCCACTTCAAGTTGATATTCCAAACTGTCGATTCTGTAAGAGACGAAGACAAGAACGAAATTAGCCCCCTCAGGTTTTCACTCCAACCATCCAACCTGCTTAAAATTAAAACTCCTTAAAAATTCCTGGCACTTTCTCACCTCCTCTGCCTCTCCTCCAGCTTCCTGCAGAGTTCTGCATCGGTGTTATGAAGCTGGGAAGATTTGTTCAGGAGCTCCTCATTCGGAGAAGACTTCTGCGTTGTTTTGCTGTAAATAAGAGGCCAGAGAAAAATTAGTCCCTTGATTTTTTTTAAATTTGAATTTTGGATTGTGGGGTTCCCAGGAGCTTCTACAGGTACCTCCTCCTTTCCTTTAGATGTCCCAGGCCCTTCTCCTTGCAGGTGAATGATGGACTGGGGCTGGATCTTGAATGCCAGGGGTTGACTTGCTCTTATTAATTTGAAAGTCCTTCCTCAGATCTCTCTATCAGAAGGGGAATATAGCCTTCAATCTTTGCTCAATCCTTGAAGGGTCTTATGTATTTCTTATCTGTATTTCTAAGCTGCTTCAAGGAATCCTGGTCCTCTCCCTCCCTTAGTCAGGGCTGCTGTCCAAGTGTTTCTCACCTCCTCAGCCTCTCTCTGAAGTTCCTCAGGATGGTCGCCTTCTCCTCCATCAGCTTGATGTTCCTACTTTTCAGGTTCTTTATTTCATCTTTCAGTTGTATTCTTTCTTTTACCATCTGTTCAAACGTTTTTGAATTTCTGTAAATTATGAAGAGGAGACAGAAATCAGCCCTCTCATGATAGATGATACTAAATATTTCTCACCTATCCAGTTGTTCCTTTAGTGTTTTGTTCTCCACGAGGAGCTCCTGTTTCTCCCCAGCATGCTGCAGAATTCTGCAGAG